AAGCCTATCGCTTTATATGAATCCATGTCCTGGAGCATGAAGAAGCCTGGTGTGCACAAAAATCAGAGCACTGTACCGGATAATGACTGGAGCTCCTGCTCAGTCATGTGACCTGGACTCTAGAGCTGAAATAGTGCTGAGATGTGTCGTGGGTAAAACAGAGACAGGTTCAACTGCATAATTCCCTGTCCCACTACAGTAGCCCAGGACATGGAAGACTGCAGAAACACTAGTACTGGGAACCTGGGACCCTCTAAATTGCCACATGATTTATTGTAAACATGCTGTTACAAGCCATGTGAGAACGATCCACTTTAATCAGTGGGGATCATTTTTGACAACATAAAAAAAAAAGGTTGAGCACAACTTTCTTACAGTTGCGATATATGGTTATACTATATGTGCATGTAATGACGATGATTTATTCCTGCTGCATGTGATATGAATGCATCACAGAATCTCAGCAGACAGAATAAAGGCGCGACTTTCACAGATCATTTATCCTTGAAATGATATTGTTAAATATGACTCCAGAGCAATACCTCCTGATGAAATAAATTTGAGAGCTTAATAGTTAAAGGGGAAATATTACGACTGATAAGTAACAGCAAATTGAATGCATTCAATAAAAGTACAACACAGATTTATGTCTTCTGGAAACCTTAACGATACTTGGAACTAAAGCATAAACATGAATGTAATCTAAATTACAGCCTTACTAAATGTAAAGTAAATACTGTAATAAATTAATGCTTTAACACCATTTAACTCGAGAGCTATTTGTAATGCATTTGCAAAATTTATTATGCTGTAAAGTAATAATAAAATATTAAACAGTTAGATTATGTTTTAGGTCTTAATAAAGTCAGTGGTAATTCGTGTGAAGCTTTTGGCTGAATAATTATTTCAAAGGAAACATTATTATTTTTGTGCAAAAATATTATTAAAATCAGAAGATTTCTTATAAACTATGAGAGAGAGGTATTTGAATCCTCATGAAAGTAAGAAGTTATTATCCCACATGTTGCACTTATGATACAGTATATAGACAATGGCACACATACTAATCCAGACTGTTGTTTAACCCTTGAACACTGATGGATGCAAGTACAGAGAGCACTTGCTTTGTCCTCTGAGGGTATCAAGGCTAATGCCACCTTCCAGGGCAGCCGGCCAAGAGCAATCAAACCCTGCCTGCTTTGCTGTGCCGTGTGGCGCTGCAGCATGAAGCCACAGGAGCAACTCGATGGCAGCTTTATGTAAATGTCCACTGCGTCTAATGTGTTGCAGAGGGGCCATGGTCCGTCCTTGTTTTAATTGGACTGCTCTATATGTAAAGTTTATTCCATTAATGGGGCCAGAGAGAAACATGAGACAGGCCATGAATATTATCGGCAAACACAGCTTTGAGTGGAAGAAGCACTTTTGGAGACTAAGAACAACTCTTTAACCCTGCAGCATGCTGCAAATGCAGCAATCAGTTACATCAGACAACTGTGGGCTATTTTAGCAAAATAGCTCAAAAAGTAGGACTTTTAGTCGTACAACAACCACAGCTAAAGTTTCATTATATTGACACATTGGAATAAAAACTGCTGTTGTCGTCGTGACAAAAAAAAGACACTGTATAATAATATTTTCAGCTCTTTTCTAATTAGTATGTTTTGTAATATAGTGGGTTTCAAATATTACTCCAACAGCAACAATGTTTTCTGCACAAACATGAGAACTGCATGAAGAAAATATGCTTCAGCAATATTCAGATATTGCACAACCCAGCAAGATCTTTTTACCCCTTAGTGCAAAGTGCGCAGGAAAGACATCCACTAACAAAGAGGTGATGCTGACAAGGCTATGAATAAAAGAAAAAGAAACATTTGAAATAGCAGAAACCACTAGTTTACTAATAGAAAAACAATGCTGACATGGCTGTGAACAACAGAAAAAGAAACAGTTTAAGGAGCCAGTAGTTTGGGAGAGTGATGAATAGTGAGAACAGGATTCATTGTGCCACTATGAGAAGAAACCCAGCTGTGCTTTACCAATTATGACATACTCACTGTCTGCAATGTTTCCTGGGTGATTCTTCATTTAGAGGCAACTGACTACTTGAAATCTTGAAAAATGTATCTTCTTCATCACATTATAAGATCATGACCTTCAAGTGGATTTCAGTTTAATGTGTGGTGGTGTGGATTTTTCCACATGGTGTGTGATGATAATGAGAGTTTTCCATTTTGAGAAAAACATTTGGGCAAAACTTGGACTTGCTAACACAAGAAGTAAGCTAGCAGCCAGTTAACTATTAAACTTAACAGTTAACTTTCAATTCTCAAACTCTGGCTAACTCTGGTTTTTACAAGCTAAAAGGTATGAGACCAGCCCAAATGAGAGAGATACTGGTAAGTTTAATATTCCTGGCCTCTTAAAAATGGAAAAAGTAATTAAAGAGACACAGTAGGCCTTAGTCAGGGTAGCGCCATATAAATTCTGATTGGAATGAAAATGAGGCTGAGGGATAGGAGTACAGTGCGATCAATGGATTGTACTGTTGTTTAACAACATACCAATTATTCAGCTGACAAAACGTCTTTCTTAAGAAAAGAAAAAAAAAAAAACTTACAGCAGACAAAAACTCCATAAAACAGTTTTACATGATCTAGTAACTGTAAGATCTAACTGTAAGTCTATCCCTCACAACCTCGTTTTCATCTGCATTAAATGCAATATGACATTTAACCTGATTAAGGTCTAGAAGGTTATTTATTTAAAGCTATTATAGAATGACTGTTCTTTTTTTTCTTTTTTTTAATCCTCTTGTTTGGAGAATCACCTCCTGTACAGTATTTTTCTACATATGATGAACTTGTAAAGTTCAGGGTATAATTTACCAAATTTGCACCCAAATACAGAGATGATTTACTTGTAGCTGGATATACTCTAGCTGACCAAAAAAGTACTAATCTGCCACAGATAATATAAAGGGCTTATACAAAGATCATATGGCTAAACAAAGTCTTTTCCAAAACATTATCTTAGCAAACACTTAAACACTTTGCAATATTTTATTTTTTCCCCTATTAAAGTATTGTAGCTGTACGTGATAACTAGAAAAATAGCTACTATGAAGCGTTACCAAGATGGCCACTAAAAAGGACTGTCAGGATTCCTACTACTACTGAGAACCAACGTGCACGAAGACTGTAACAAGATGTTTAGGGAGTCTTCTAAATCAAACAGAGTTTATGCCAGGAGAACCTCTGTACGATAGACTTTAGATAGTAAGACTTAATAACTGGACTAAATGGCTACAGATCTGTCTGACATATATTCCTCTGCAGTGATCTAAATTTAGAGAAAACTACTTTAAAACTTGAGCTTTCCAAGCTACTCATAATATAAAGCAGTGCCTACCATTAATTGCTCAAGTTTCTTTATTTTTCTACTAAAAACTGGTGACTCAGAAAGGTTTTTTTCCCCCATTTAGTTGACATGAACAAATCAGTTCACTAAAATGAATCAGACTTCACAACAACACTTGAGAGAGAACATTCAAGATTGTTTCTGATTATTTCCTTAGCTCACTTGTGTACAATACAGTGTAACAAATAAAGCAATACAGCATTTTGTCATGCTAGTAAGAAAAAAAAACAACTACAATGCACAAAAGACAAACTGTTTTGAGTTACTGTCACACTACTAAAAATGCAGTTAGGTTAGAACCATTGTTGGCAAGTTGCTATATTGTTTGTTGCTAATAAGTATGCCACCTCGACTGCAGTATCCAACTGTTGCATATTGTCCAGTCACATCGCTAGCTCACACGTTTCATTGCTGTGCATTTGCATAAAGTTGAACTCTGCTCAACTTTGGTGCATTGCCAATGGTCACATATGTCGCCTCAAATCGCCAACTGTCATTGAAAATGAATGACTTCTGGTCACTTTGTTGCTGTAAATCACTGTCAGTGTAAATACCCCGAACAGGCCATTTGACAGAATCCATACCACCAAAGACCTCTAGTCACTCGTCAGTGACGTCCCCTTTAACCTAGTCAAGAGTTCCTGATTAACGCAACAGGCAAGAGGTAGTTAGATAGTTAGTCTGTTGAGAGGGAAGCACAAAGGAAATAATTAGGAAGCTAAAAAACAAGTGCTCACATACACAAAATACTACACTGCACTTCAGAGATTCACTGCAGCACATTGCAGTGAAATATTTACTTTGTGAACATTTAGGAGCATGTGATAACAGGTCAGGGTGTCATATGTTAAGAGAAAAAGCAGAGGCCTTGGCAGATTAGGCAGCACAAGCTAAGTTTTGTAAACGGGATTGTAATTTTTAAAGTGCACTAATGGCAGCACTGCAGAGCATCTAGACATTCAAGGGCACCTTTACCTGCACTGGACATCACTGTATGAAAAGGATAGTTATATGGATAAGGGTCAGATTGGCAGCCAACGTGAAAGCATATCGATTACAGCAGAAGCCTAGATTTGATGTTACTTGTAATTTAGTTGGATGTACAGAAAAGCATAAAGTGCTCTAGCCAGTAGATGTAGGATGTGACTCAAGATTCGAGCTGATATGGAAATAGCAAATCAAGGTATTAGCACATTTCTTAGCCATTCAAACTACACAGTCAAAAAAATTCAAAATGCTCAGACAGAGTTACGACAATAAGCACAGTGGTTGAAACGAGGTAAATGGACTATCAAGGTAATCATATTTATACTGTGTTGTGTCCAAACAGACACAACGCAGTACATCTACAAGTGATCGCTTGCATGTAAATCTGAGTACAAACTAGCCATGAAGGCAACGAGCAAAAGTACAGTTACCTGGTTTCTACTTCTGCAGCACTGAGCTGTACAGCCCAACCCACAGTTAAATCTTATTGGTCCAAAAACCCACTCCATATACAGTTTCCCATGGGCTGATGGAGCTGAGCGTCGTTGCAGGTTCCGGAGACCTGGGCACAGACTAGTCGTCCTGACTCCTGACATACAATATTTTGCACCAGAGTCTTGCAGCTTTAGAAAAAAACTAAACAGAAACAAAATTAAATAACAGATTTTTACATGAATGACTGAAAGCAAGCACAAATTAGCCAGCTGGAATGGACACATTGCTAACGTTTTTCTTCCAAGATTGACCAAATCACCCTCCATTAGGCCTGATTCAAAAATCTCTATAACAGAGGTGATACAACATGAAAATATACTTACTATTCCTTTGCTTGTCTCTGCACACAGATTTCAGTTTGTCTTCTATAGCAGCTGATCTGAAAAACAACAAATGTTAATATTTCATACACACACACACACACAAAAGCAAATATTGATTGATGATTTGTTTTCTTTTTAAGAATGACAGTACGCTGAGAACAATGTACCTGGTCGGTAATATAGTCAAAAACCTTCCCAGCCTCAGCAGTTTCAGATGTACTGTATGCTCTCATATAAGCAACCCTTCTTACAATTGAATCTTTGTTCTTATCTGTAATGAGAAATATATATTAGAAAATAAAGGCGATAAGGTTGTCAAGCTTGAACAAATATAAACACCAATCAACGAACACTACCACAGTTGGCTAATCAGCTCAAGACAAAGTAATTGTATGTTCATAATCATGGTTTTTCAAAGATCATTAACCTCATTACAATGAAGCCAAATTGTTCAGGAAATCAGAAATAAATAAATACACAACTTCATTTTGCAAATAAAAGAATGTTAATGTTGTACATGTTATAATGACTAATTTTATTTTATTTATTTTTTTCTGCCAATGCATGTGTCAAAAACACGACTGGCACAGACAAATAACGTTAATTAAATCTTACCTGAAGTCACAGTGAGGTTCCAAAAGCCAGACGCCATACGCGCTTGCAGAAGCTGGTAAAAATAAGAACATACCGCTATATTTTCTAATTAATTTCATAGTTCCCCACAATTTGAATTCTATCATCACTCACCCTTAAGATAATCCAAACCATCTAAGACTTTCGTTCATCTTTAAAAGTAAAGCTGAGATATTTTAATAAAAATCTGAGAGATTTATGTCTTATAAATACATTAAAAGTATGCTTCTGTTTAGCATATTTCTTAGAAGTATAACTAAGCATATATTTAATACAAAAGTACTTCTAGTATACTTTTTAGAAATATATTAAAATGCAATTCAATATATTTTTATTGCACTTCAAATAAGCATGTTGGGAATACAAATGTATTATAAACATACTACTTGAATTTCAAGTATATTTTTAATACATTTAATACTACATCTTTTTCACCTGGGTTATTATACATAAAATGTTCACTACTTTCACTTTAAGTATGTATACACAAACTACTTTTACCCGAAAACTTGTTGCATAACACTTGATTAATAAACGGTGTTAAGCATTATTAGATACTACAAATCATACACTACTGCTCAAGCATTTGGGGTCAGTCTTTTTTTTTTTAAGAAATAATACTTTTATTCAGCAAGGATGCATTAAATTGATCAAAAGTGACAGTAAAGACATCTATAATGTTACAAAAGATCACTATTTCAAATATATTATGTTCTTTTGAACTTTGTATTACTCAAAGAGTTTCAAAAAAGTAGTTTCCACAATGCTATTATGCAGCACAACTGTTTTCAACATTGACATGAATAAGTAATGTTTCTTGTGCACCAAATCAGCATATTAGAATGATTTCTAATGTGACACTGAAGACTTCAGCTTCCATCACATCACACTAATTAAAGGACGGGCCCAAGTCATTTCTATGGAACAAGCAATTATAGAAACATGGGCATGGACTATTGAGACTATTGAACCAATACCTAAGCAACCACCCTCTACTCTACTCTGCAGTAGTAACCACATAGCGACACACTAAAAATCGCTCAGAGCATCTTAGCAACTACTTAGTCATGATCAGGCAATCACCCACAACATCCTAACACCATAAAAGCAAATTCTGCACAGGTAAGAACCTCCAAAAAAAACTTTTTTTCTCCCCATTATACACCCTAAGGCCTTTAAAACACAAAATAAGCTAACTGTTTACCTTAAAGCAAAATATTCACTCATTGTATATGTGACAAAGATGTTGTTTATAATGTTTAAAATTCTTGTGTTTCCCCTATGAGCCACATTTTTTTATTTTAAATGGAGAAAGAAACGGCCCTGACAAACATGAAATTTCCATTATGAGTTATTACTGCCGCTGTTTTGACCACAGTGGATTAGTAGGTAGCAGTCAATTTGGGCTTTTAAGCAGGGCTTGAGGACGCTTTGATCAAAAGCACAAAAAAACGAAGGATGGCTTACAGCAAGACTGGACCGCTATCTCAGATTATACTGATAGTCAGAGAGAGTCCACACAATGAGACATAATACATCCATACCACAATAAACAACAGAGTTATAAACTAGAGGAAAAGCCAGATAAATGGACTAATGCATCATACTGTTTAATTCAGCTACTGGATGTCACATTATTTCCACACACACACACAAAAGTGTTTTGGTGCAATTTTGCTGCAAGTTGTTCATTCTTGGATTGACATGAGGGTGAATGATTAAAACTTTTCATTTTTTCATTTTCTGGGTGAACTATGCCTTTAAAAGTCTCAGTAGTTGGTACAGTCTGAACTGAATGTGTGTATGTTTCTTTGACCCTACAAGTTGTGATGCAGGAACATGCAGGGAAAAATTTCATGAAGTTCATATGTGTGTGTGTGTGTGTGTGTGTGTGTGTGTGTGTGTGTGCG